TTATACTGTGAACAATAAACTTTTATTTGCTGTTATTTAAAAATATATCTGAAAATATCAGTATAACTTCAGTTTCTACCTTTGTTACAGTTTCATATCAGGAAGCTTTCTGAGGAATAATGACGTATTAGAATCAATATAAGTAAAAACTACATTAAGCCAATGTATTTACTTGAAACAGAGCCTCAATATCCTGTTTTTAAAAAATAACTGAGCTTGTTTATTATACAGTCAGTTATCCAGAGTCTAACACGAAATGTAAAAGCAGTTACATTTGATACAATCATACCCCAGGGTCATGCATGTTGGATACAGTATATCACATTTCTTAAGTTAGATGCAGAAAGCTCTCAAACTTCCTCAGTACAGAAAGTCAGTGTGAGTCAAGGCTGAGAACCAACTAAAAATTTCTCCTTTAAAAAATAAAATTAATGAAGAGAAACAACAAACAGAAACATGGGTGTTATTTGCCTTGACTTCCAGTAGAGTTTCTGACTCTTCTGTGCCTTCTTACTGTGTCCGTACCTGTATACTTGTCTGTCTCCACGAATATCATCGTTTTTTTGTTTTTGTTTTTCTTGTACTGCTAATGCATTAAGAATTAGAAGACAGAGTAATTTCCAGAGTATTTTTTTTTCTTCACAGTTAGATTCATGCAGTTATCTGAAATGTCTTTTTGGTACAAGGACTTTCTTCAAAGCCTAAAGGGCTTTCTTGATTTCTTAGCATCACATCAAAACTTGAAGTCAAATAGAACATTAGGGGAACATGGGCCAGAGAAGGAAATAAGAAAAGAAGTTAGTAAAGAATCAGAATTAAATACTGAAAGCATTTTGGGTCATTGTGAACTTGAAGTCTAATCACTATCAGTCCAACAGAAAGAGCTATATAGTATGTTCTAAAACTCTTATGACTGTTCTTGAAAATGTGGTAACTTACCCCTTCTGGAAGGTGTCAAAGAACCTCAGGCTTCTGTATCAGCAGCAGTGAGACACTGAGGATAAATGTGCTTGTGGCCAAGGCTGAGGCCCTGGAGTTCAATCCCCAGAATCCACATGGTGGAGGAAGAGACACAACTCCTTCAGGTTGTCCTCTGACTTCCACATACGTGCTGTGGCACCCTCATGTCTACACATACACACAAACACACATAAACGTAATAAACTATTCTGTTTCAGCTTAGCCACTCACAAAAACTGTGACCACTGAAGCTCAAAGAAAGGATGTGCTTTACCGAAAGTAGAGTCCTCACAGAGTGATTTGAGGCTTACATACACTATTCAGTTTTACATGCAAGTGACATACACACTCCACCGCAGCCTGACATCACTTCATGTGTTCCCGTGTCTCATGTTTATGTATTAATTCTTTTCTCTGTCCTTATTTGGACATTCTTTCCTTTCTTTCATTGAATTTGAATATATAAAAAGCCCACTTCTTTCACTTTTATTAATAATTTAGATGATATTCAAAATAATGTATTTCATTGTGACATTTTCATACATATGTATCATTGAACTTTGTTCACATTCCCCTATCCCGCCCTACTCACTGGACAGCTTCTTTTCTCTCAAAGTCCTCCTTCTGGTTTCACTTATTCATATATATGTAAGATATATGAATGTAGATCTCAAATGCATTTCTAAATTTAGGTATGCATGTAAGAGAAAACATGACAAAACATGACTTTCAAGGATTTTACTCTTTTTTGAGGGGGGGTTCTTTTTTGAGACAGGGTCGCCCTATAGCTCTAACTGTCCTGGAACTCGCTATGTAGACCAGGCTGGCCTTGAACTCACAAAGATCCACTTGCCTGGATTAAACTTACTCTCAATGAGTTGGAAAGTTGCAGCTTGTATTAGCAATAAGTGTGAATTCAACTCTAAAACCTTTTAAGAATATTAGAAAAGAAGCTGTGTAAATTAAAATAATAGTCTGATTTTTAGATGTTATGTATAAAGTAAATATTTATATTCACCACAACTAAAAATATATATGATGGGCTAATTATTCCAATGAAGTTTTCTATTTTAAACTGATACATAAAGCAAAAATTTTTCACATTAATGAGATTTTTAAAAAGTAGTATGTAGTAACCATTTCAGCTAGTTCAGAATTCTTTCACATACTGGAGAAATATTTTGGTTTGTTTTTATCCTTTAAACAAAATATTTTATTTTGCAAAGATCTTTTATTGCTATAAGAAGTGCAAGTTTACATTAAATTTTGAACTTTATTCATTTATGGACTCCAGTGTATTTATGCAGTTAAAATACTTGAAGTAATTGAAATTTGATGCACTTAACAAATTTGATGTACTTGAAAATTCTGTTGGGTTTGAGTTTAACCATTCTCAGAATACTTTTAGTTAAAAAGTAGTAGCGACGGATTGTTTTCCAGGCTAAAAATTGCCTGATGAATATAATTTTGAGATCTTTTCTTGAAACCTGGTCTTTCTCTAGAAAGTTAATTAGTCCTAATGTCCATGTGAACCTGAATTTCTAGAAGCAAGTGTGGTTGTTTTGGACCCCTTAGACTGTTTCTCCATGCTTTGTTCATAAATATTATTCAGAGTCCTGTGCCTCAGTGCTAGGCTGCATCATTACTGGAAGGTAAAGCTACATTTTCTTTTTTGGTTGTTTGGTTGGTTTTCTCTCTCTCTCTCTCTCTCTCTCTCTCTCTCTCTCTCTCTCTCTCTCTCTCTCTCTCTCTCTCTCTCTCTCTCTCTCTCTCTCTCTCTCTCTCTCTCTCTCTCTCTCTCTCTCTCTCTCTCTCTCTCTCTCTCTCTCTCTCTCTCTCTCTCTCTCTCTCTCTCTCTCTCTCTCTGTGTGTGTGTGTGTGTGTGAGAGAGAGAGAGAGAGAGAGAGAGAGAGACAGGGTCTCTCTGCAGCCCCATCTGGCCTAGAACTTACTGTGTAGACCAGACTGGCCTCAGTCTTACATAGACAGACCTGGCTCTGCCTCCTGAGTGCTGGGACTAATATAGCTCGAGCACCCCACCCAGCTACAGGCATTCACTTTTTAAAAAATATTTTGTTTATTTATTTTTTTTTATTGTATGTGTATGAGTGTATTGCCTGCATGTATATAAATGCATTCATGTCATGCAGTGCCTGCAGAGCTCAATAGAGGGCATTGGATCCCCCAGAACTGGCGTTACAGATGGTTGTTAGCCACCTTGTAGGTACTGGGATTCAAACCCAGGTCTTCTGCAAGAGCAGCCAGTGCTCTTAACCATTAAGCCATCTCTCCAGCCCCAGGCTCTCACTTTTTAAAGATGGCTGCTGTTTTTGTAACCCCTGGGGCAACTACCAAGTGTGCCATGATGAGTGTTGTGCTTAGCTATGGTTTTTATAATTACTGCTTCTAAAAACAGAGACTCTATAATTAGAACCCTTTAAAGTCTAATTTCCCTAAAGTGTATTTTGTTTGAAGAATGTGTTTATAGCAAAATATGAAATTGTTAAGGAGAAAATGAAACAAGTCACACTTGAAAAATCAGTGACTATTTAAATTTTTAGTATGTTTTTGAAAGCAGGAAATATAGTTGTACAAAGTAAATACAAACATCTGTCATTCCTGCAGTTAGAGAAAACTCTGAAGTTACAGTCATAGCAAAACTTTTACTTCTCCCAATAAAAAACTTGTGTAATGACATTCTTTTTTTTTTTTTTTTTTTTTTGCTGGAATAGCCATAGTATGTATAGAAACAGGATAGAAAGAGATAGTTCATAGAAAGGGGAAAGTTCTTTAATTAGAGAAATATTTCCCTTTACACTCACATTTTTGTGCTATAATCTACATAGCTCAATATTGGCAATTATTTGCTCTAGTTGTTCAACCAATGCTAGAATATTTCTGACAGTTGAACAAATTCTTAGAAGTATGAAATCCCATTTCTTTAGTGTTCCAGCACATTTGAAAATATCATGAAGAATGTACAATGTATCTCCTGTCAAAGTAGCTTTAACAAACACCTATCCTGTTAAATTCTGTTTCTGCTCTATGATTCTATTGAGTTCTTCCACACATCTGTAAATAAAAAAGGTCCTGAATGAAATTAATTGTGTCAGACAGAATCACAGTATCAGGTACAACAGAATTCATTGTGGATCCAAGTTCCACGTTTCTTTGAATGAAGACTCTTCAGTCCTATTAATTCTAGAACTAATGTGATGCTGTAGAACAAACTTAGTTCTGGACTTAACAACATATGCAAATACCCTTTGGATTATAATGTAACACATAGCACTCAAAGGTGACTGTGATGGTGAAAAATCCTTTGGAAAAAATAATTTTATAAATGCTCCATGAAATGTGAATTGTTTTCATGCCTTATATAAAATTTTTTGACAGGCACATACATGAGGTGAGAATTTAATGTTGAAATGTTTTAAAATTAAACTACTCTTACACAAGGGATTATAAAGTAAAGCAAGAACTGTCTCTAGTATTATATATATATTAATGCTATATATATATATACTCGAATTAGAATGATTTTATGTAGCATAGTTGAGTAGGACAGTCCAGATTCATAAAAATCCCTTATATTGAGCGTTAGAGAATTGCTGATTTAATCAAGGTTTAATGAATGTTTTATGTTTTCAGACCTTTATTACTCACAAATCTAAAATTTAGTTGCTTAGGAAATTTAAGGAACTATGTCTTTAGTGAGTTTAGTTTTGTTTCATTTTATTTTATGTATCAGGGTATAATATCTTGCCTTCTGATACTGATGAGAACTCTTACTTAGATTTATTTAATTATTCAAAATTAGATAAAATTTCTCTTCAGTATAATTATTTGATACGTACATGTGACCTGTTCATCCTCCAGTCTGTTGCTGTGGAACAGTAGAGTAGAAATGAACATAGACCAATTCTCTTAATAAATTTGCATAGTTTCATCTTTACCTGACAATTCCTCAAATCTTAGAAATGAAGTCCAAAGACAAATTCAGAGACTTTCAAGATAAGAATACAATGAAATGTAAATTGTGCAGAATGTGTTGTTCTAGAATAGCCAAAGTACAGAGGTAAATTAGACAGTTTTAAAGCAAATTAGCAGGTGTGTACAAATAGAAGACATCTATAGCATGAATAGAGTTAGAAGCAGGTAAAGCAGGTTGTCATGGAATGTAAGAAATGAGAAACCAATGTACCAGAAGAAAATGAGTAATGCTATTTCAGGTTAAGCACTTACAAATAATTCATTGAATTTTTCATCCAACCATTTAAATTGTGTCCACTCTTCATAAATCATGACTTATAAAAGGATGTCAGGTTTTGTATTGTAGATCACACGTAGTATTAGTGCTTGGGTGGCCTTAGGTTCCACTCCTGTTTTAACAAAGGTTCCTTTTCATCTCATTTGGGTTAAGCTGTCATTAACTTCACCACCTGTCTCTTTTTTTTGTTCCATGATCTGATGGTGGCGCTCATCCTTTCTTGTTTTTAATCTTTAGTATAACATACATAAAGATCAGTACAGAAGCTGTGATAACGTCTCTGCCAAATCATCAGATAGTGATGTCAGTGATGTGTCCGCCATTTCCCGAACCAGCAGTGCCTCACGCCTCAGCAGCACAAGCTTTATGTCAGAGCAATCTGAGCGCCCCAGGGGTAGAATCAGGTGAGTTGGCAATGCTGTCTATATTAACTGGATCTTTATCCCTGGTGTAAAATGCATCAAGTTTCCAGAGTATTCTTTCTAGAATACAGTTTAGGTTAAGTAACAGAAACAATTCATTGTAATAACTCAGTGAATTAAGCATGTACCAACTACTCTTTAGGATCACCAACAGTGTTTGATACTGTCCACTGTCAGACTGAGCATGTTAAATAGTAATAACTATAATTACTATAGTCCTAACTTTTACAATTAAAGGATTTCTTCGTAATTTCATAGGGTCATCAGAATGTGCTTTTGCCAGTATTGGAAAACATTTTCTGTAAAAGACCATATAGCAAATATCTTACAATTTATAGGAGAGTATCTATCATAGCTATTCAACATGCTTCATAGTGTGAAAGTATTGCCAGTAAATAAGTGTAACTGTTTGTGTATGTTTTATGCATGCATCTATCTATATGTATCTACATGCCTACTTTGGTGCAAAAATAGTAGACTGTTTTTCTCCCTCAAAGGCTACAGGTTTTTTTATATTTTATTTTATTTTTTTTAATTTTATGTGTATGAGTATATTGCTTGAATGCATATAATTGCACCTGTATCATGCAATGGTCATAGAGGCCAAAATCGGGCACTGGATCACCTGGAACTAGAATTGTTAACAGACCCATGTGGGTACTGGAAATCTAACCCAAGTCCTATGCAAGATCATTTAGTGCTCTTAACCACTGAACTATCTCTCCAACCCCACAAAAGCTATAGTTTTTCAACTTCTTCTTCAGCCATAATAATGGGTCTCCTTTCAGGGTAGAATTAGGCTGACATAGTAATAAGATATACCTACCCGATTTGTATTATGTGAGCTGTGACATTTGCACCAAGTTGCTTAAGCCATCAGTAATGTTCTTTGGTTCTTACATGCCACATATGATGCTGAAAAGGAGAAGAGCTCAGATATTTATGTACCATCCAACCTAAAGCAGAATCATATGGACTTGTTCTTAGCTCCTTTTTAGAAACACAAGTTTCATAGGAGAAATTGTGTAGTTGAAGGAAACTGTAATAAATATGAATGTTAAAAATGACAACTGGGATGGAGAGTTGGCACCAGCTGCTCTTGTAAAGGACCAGGGTTCAGTTTCCAGCCCCCACATGGTGGGTAACAACTGTCTGTAACTCTGTTTCCAAGATCCACCTCCCTCTTTTGACTTACACAGGCATTGCACCACACAGGTGCACTTACATGCAAGCAATACACTCCTAAACAAAAAATAAAAATAATAAATAGAATTTTTAAAAATGACAACAGATGCCTTTCTGGTGCTCCAGGTATTTGACATACCATTTGGTGCATGAGAAAATGTATTCTAAAGTTTTTTCCTTCCTGGCTTTTCCTTCACTTAGCTTCTGTGCTGAGGAGAATTGAAATAAATCATCTTCTAGTTAACAATTTTATAGTCTCATAATCTAATGAGCAATTTTAACTGATTTTAGGAAGAAAAAAGAGAAAGGGAAACCTTAGATACCTTAAAGGGGCTGTAATTTTCTACAAAGAGGATGGGACATATTAGTGTATTTTGTGGGGAAAGTTTCAACTGAAAAAGTGTCCCAGAATATAATTATGCTATTTATACAAAAAATAGAAGTTTCACTCTTCTTTAATTCTGAAGAGTTTTACTTGAAACTTATGGGGAGAAGAATCCTTTTAAACAGTCCACAAATGAATTTCTTACTGATGAGCCCATTTTCTCTAAACTTCCTGTTTTCTGCTCTTCCCCTTCCCGGTAACTTAAAACCCATCATAACTGAGATTTTATTTCATGTAAGTGGATTATGTAAGCTTAAGCATTCATGTGGTAGCTAAATAAGCTTCCCCTGAAACTATCATGAGACCTGCTTTTCTGCTACTCCCATTATTTTTTTGTCTTTGATTGTTTCTGTGTTCAGAGACTTGATCTTCTTAGTGAGGGCGTGCATAAAAAGAAACATGAGAAGGGACAAATCCTATGATATTCAGAGGCTAATAATCCTTTCATAGGTTAAAAAATTCAATATTTCTGCTATACACCCACAAATGTACAACACACATACACTCGTGCTGCACCATACCACAGAGCTCTTTGGCCACCACCATCAATCCTGTGTTAAAAGCACTAAGTAACAGGCTCTCCTGCACCCCCTGCTCCCATCGCTAACTCAGTGAAGAATGGCCCTTCTTAATATATCCCTGTTTCTTATTTCCTTTTCTTTAAACTTTTATGAAAACTTTATTGAGAATTTCATACGTGTATATAAGGTGTTTTGATTAGATCCATGCCCACTCCCTCCCCTCCAACATTCCCCTGTCTGAAAAGGTAACCCTAAAATCTTTTAAGGATTAGATACAAGCTCCCAAATACTTTTGACATTTTTGGCCTTTGGAACAGAGTATGTTGCTAACAGGCCCAAGGACATTTTGACTTTTAGCCAAGAAACTGGCTACATTTCTTTGGGATCTTTTTACCCTGT